TCCTACTGAACACGGCATACGGCAGCGGGGCAGGAGGGGGGGGGTGCTATCACGGGCGCGCACATGCTGGGAAAGGCCACCCGGGGGCGCTGCACGCACAGACATGAAAGAGGAGGCAAGGCAGAGAAAGCAAGCTTCGGACAAACTAGCACATGCGTGGGACAGCACCGCAGGGGAAGACGGACCCTCTGACCCGCCGTCCGCAGTCATGCGACTAGTTTTGGTGGAGGGGCAAGAGCGTTCCCTTTGTGCTCTTATTTTTGAATATTTTTGTAAGCATGTGTCACTAAAAACCTGGAAAATAACCAGCAAAGGAAAACACAGCAGGAAACAAGAGGGTGACAGGAGAAACAAGAGTACCTGATGGACGTGCAGGTTTAGTGAGGAAAGGACGGGCACGCGGCAGAGCCGAGAGGCGTCAGCAGGGAGCGCGGCTGCCAGCCTGCGAGACGCCCCCGGTGTCCTGCCGCTGGCGGTCACACCTGGTGTCCCCCACCAGGGGACGCCCCTCCACAGTGCGGGGCTGTGTGGCCAGGGGCGGCAGCGGCAGCACGCCACTGTTGAGGTTAACTCAGTTTACAAAGGCCTGCCGCTTGTGCTCTCGACGGTCCACGCTGGGGCAGCTCCGGCCCCACGGAGAGGCCTGTGTGGCGAGGCGCTGAGGCCTCTCACCTGGAGCCACGGGTGGGCTGGGGGTCCTGCAGGCCCAGGCGAGTCCTCAGGTGACACGGCCCCAACAGACCCTGAGCAGACCCCCTAGCTCAGTTGCCCCTTCCTCGTGCCCCCCCCAAAACTGTGAGGTAATAACTGCTTGTCATATGCAGGGGTAAGTCTGGGGATAACGCGTTACACAGCAGGAGGTAACTGACACGTTGCACGCGCGCGCGTGTGTGCGCGTGAGAAAGAGGAGAGGGGAGGGAGGGACTGAGGGTTCCTGTGAGCCTTCCTCCTTTCATCTCCAGTCCCCAGACTTTCTGCAAGGTGTTTTTCTGCACCATTGACGGTCAATCAGGCCACAGACCTGACAGTGGGGCCCGTGAGGAGCAGGAGGTGGTGAAGGCAGGGGCCACCGGTCACTTGGCCTCTCCCCGGGCAGCACGGGGCCGTGCAGGGTCCCCAGGCCTGCGCCGGGGGTGGGGCACTCACGTTTCGGAGACTCGGACGTAGCTGGGGGGACACTCGAAGCGCAGGCAGCGGAAGCCGCCCTGGATGTTGTGACAGGTCTCAGCCTCAGAGCAGTTGTGGGTGCCCAGCGCGCACTCGTCCAGGTCTGGGGGGAGCAGAGGAACATGATGGGAGGGATCCCCCAGGGCTGGAGACCCTCTTCTGAGCCACCCAACCCGCCCTGGGGGCCTGGGCCTCAGAGCAGCCCGTCCTGTGAGCACAGCTCACTTGCCCCCCACGCACATGCACCCCACCCCGTCCGTCCACTCCACACCCAGGAGCCAAGCCTGGCGCCCTTGTGGTGCCAGGACGGACCCATGCGACATCCAGCCATCCCCCAGGCCCTGCGCTAGCCTGGCTAGGGAGGAGGGGCCGGGGAGAGACGTCCTGAACACAAACAGGTGTTCAGCCTGAAGCACCTTCAAGAGTGAAAGTCACTGACATGTCTGAGCTTTACAAGAAGTGCCCGCACCGTGTTCTGCCACCACCAGGTGCAACAGAGCCTTGGTCCCAAAAATGAGATCACTCTCTAGGAACATAAAGTCGAAACTGCTATTTACAGCAGGTAACACCCTTGTCTTTTACAGAACTCATACCAATTATTTTTTAAATTAAAAAGCAGGCAGCTCTGTGCCAGGAAGCCCTGGCCAGCTCCTGGGACCCCTGAGGCTTCTCTTCTCCAGGCTTCTCCCTAGATAGGTCTCCTGCCTCTCAGAACCACCCCACAAGATCTCCATCCTGCTCCCAGGGCAGGGCCCAGAGCAGAGGCTGAGCCTCGAAGACTGAGCTGGGTCAGGCAGCAGAAAGACTGCCACCTCCCTCATCCTAGGCATAGACCTTGGTTAATGTGGCCACTGGTGGTGTCGACCACTCTCTGTTTATGCACTTGGGGTCAGAGCTCCAAGTGCACAGCGAGCTGTGTGAGGCTTTCTGTGCTTGCTTGCGAGAGTGGGCCCTCCCTCACCCTTGCAGGACCTCCCGTTGGCCGTCATGGTGTAGCCGTGCTCCGGACATGCGCACTGGTAGCTCCCGGGCACATTGATACAGCGGAAGGTGCAGAGGATGCCGGCACCCTGAGCG